TGAGCTTATCTCTAGATTTATCCGTCTCGATTAGATATTTATGCCTCAGCAAGATATTTCCACTTTGAATATGTTTTAATGCCTCAACCGGGTATCCTATCGTAATAAGATCTTTCATTCTTGATCACAACAAATTTTCTCTTTGAAAAGATAGATGAAACATATACACATGTTTATATTTTTCCCTAACCCCTAAACCTTAAACTCTAAACATGGTCAGAGTAAAATATCAAATTTAACCCTTTTAATAGATATACTCACTGTCTAGTTTGAATCAAGCTAGACGGGTATTTTCGTCTAGATTGACAAACTAGACGGTTTTTATTTTTTTAAATAATACTCAAACTAGACGAAAATTCCGTCTAGATTGCCTAACAAATTTTACGAAACTTTTTTTTTCATTTCCCCGCCTATTTTTCCATTTCCCCTCCTCATTTTATTCCGCTCTGGCCCTCTCCATCTAAAAACCCCCAAATCTCTCTCTCTCTCATCTCCACGCCCACCCCCCTCACCAAAACCTCCAGATCTCCCTCAACCCCTGCGGATCCCTCTCCCGCCGCGCCGAGATCCCCCTCATCCCCCCTCCACCTCCACCTCCACCGTCGGCGCCGCCCTCTCCAGAGACATCACCCTCAACCCAGCCCGCAACACCTCCCTCCGCCTCTACCTCCCAAACCCTAACCCTAGCCCCAAGCTCCCCGTCGTCCTCTACTTCCATGGTGGCGGCTTCGTTCTCTTCTCTGCGTCGATCTCAAATCCTCCAACGTCGCCGTCTGCCTTGTCAGCATTAATGGCAGCGACAGGAAGTTCTCTGGAAGCAAAAAATCAGGAGGCGATGGCCACGAGGATGGAGCCGAAGTCCTGCAAAGTCGAGACCTTGCTCAAACAGTTGAGCTCTATGGATTCCAAAACCCTAATTCGAAGAGATCGTCCTTACCTCCAACGAAAATTTGTTATTGTTTTCTTTTTTCGTTAGATTTAAGCCGGTGGAAGCTCTGAAGACGGCGCTTGAGGGATCGCCGACGAGCATCAAGGATGAGAGGTGTAAGGTTTGGGGTTCTTTTTGATCTGGTTTCAGAAATTAGGTTTTGGTTTTATCG